ATAAAGAAAAAATCATAACACGGCGAGGAAAATTAAAATTCGTTGAATCGTTGGTAAATTTCACAAACGATTTTTTTGTTTATAAACAATATTCAATAATTTAATAAAATATATTAAGTTTATTCCAGTTTATTTATACCGTCAGTAGGTAATTCGTGAATAGATATTTCAAAAAGGTATCAATTTCAAAAATCATTATTGTGAAAATCTGTGTTTTTAATAAATGCATTGTTCCTTGAAATTCAGAAGTGCCAGGAAAGCGCGTGACTTTGAAAATTTTAAAATTTTTCGCCTGCGGCGCCATTTGGAGAGTCCGGGCACTTAATATCCCGGAATTTAATTCAACAAATGTAACAACCCTAAGCAGAACACATTCAATCAATGTTCACGCGCCGCCACTGGTTATACATAAATGTATTCCTTGCTTTAAAGCCAAACCTCGCACTATTATCCCTCAGATGGGCGAATTACCTACCAGTCGCGTCACTCCAAATCGCATCTTTTCTAGTTGCGCTGTAGATTACGCAGGTCCAGTTTATATAAAGGACGGATAAACTCGCAATCGTAAGAAAATAAAGGCTTACATCTGCGTATTTGTGTGCATGACAGGCAAGACAACTCATCTAGAGTTGGTGACAGAACTAACTACATCTATGTTTTTAAATGCCTTAAAACGATTCGTAGCAAGACGTGGCTTATGTAGTCATATTTACTCGGACAATGCCTCCAATTTTACGCGAGCAAATCGTGAGTTGTTAGAGTTTTATCACATAATTCAAAAGGACCAAATTCAAAATTATTTGCGCACACAAAATTCAGTGGCATTATATTCCAGCACGTTCTCCAAACTTTGGAGGTCTCTGGGAGGCAGCTATTAAGGCAGTCAAATATCACCTGAAACGCATTTTGAATAATATTCATTTATCTTATGAAGAGTTCTATACTCTCTTAGCTCAAATCGAAACGGTTCTGAATTCAAGATCCTTAACCCCTCTATCCAGTGATCCCGAAGACCTTGAGGCTTTGACTCCAGGCCACTTCATAATAGGGAAGCCGCTCAATTCAATACTCGAACCTGATGTCGAAAACGAACGGCTAACTCCCGTTGCGCGGTATCATCACCTTCTCTGAATCACTCAACACTTCTGGAAGAGATGGAAAAATTAATATTTGCATAACCTGCAGCAAAGGTCCAAATGGAAATTCCAATCAGATGTCTCTTCCCTAATAGGATCATTAGTTCTTCTTAAGGAAGATAATACACCACCACAACAGTGGCCCAAGGGCAGAATAACAGCGATTCATCCAGGGCATGACAACATAGTGAGGGTAGTGAGTGTCAAGATACCTAGTGGTGTAGAGAAACGTGCATTAGGGAGGGTTTGCGTGCTACCATTAAACTCAAATGCTTGTTCCGCCACGCGCCATAAGGTTCCGTCCAACCCCCCTCTTCATTGTTTTGAAATGTGGGTCGAAAGCGAGGGTGTGGGCATACAAGCCCTACACACAAATAAACAGATGAGTTTAGGTTAGAGTAGTGTTAAGACACCTTGTGAGAAATTATTATGTCATTAAATAAGTGAAAAATTAAGCCAAGGGTTTCATTAACAAAATCAATCAGTGCCTCG